TCTCTCTCTCTCTCTCTCTCTCTCTCTCTCTCTCTCTCTCTCTCTCTCTCTCTCTCTCTCTCTCTCTCTCTCGTATATCAGTAGGAGGAGAAGAAGCCCTGGAGGGAAAGAGGAAGGGCGATGGAGAGAGAAAGGAGAAGAAGGAATCTTTGCTCTCTTTCTCTCTCTCTCTCACTGCATTTATGCCAGGTACTAACCTGCAGAAAGGTGCCGCCTTGATGTAGGTGCGGACGTCCCGAAGACGAAGTTGGAGCTATGGTATCACAGGTACGTCCCCCTGGCCTCTACCCATCTCTCTCTCACTCTCTCTCGTGCAACGGCAACGCTCTAACTCCCATCTCGCGCCATGTGCCGTAGACTACTCTAGCTGCGCCCAGCTCGCCAACTACTGAAGTCTACTCGCTACTATCTTAGAACTACCTCTGAGGACGGCCCAACTATGTATAGCACGTTGGGCCTAGTGTCCTGGGTCGAAAGCAAATTGGTCTGGCGGCAAGATCTGGAATCTGTTTTGGCACAAAAAGTAGGAACCTGGCGAAAATACAAAAAGATCTGGCGCCCAAAGTTGCCAAAATAAAAATACGAAAACGGTTTGGTGCCCAAAGTTGCCGAAATGAAAATACGAAACGGTCTAGCGCCCAAAAGCAGGAGCCTAGCAACAAATGCCAAAAGTAGGAACTTGGCGAAAAGTTGCCAAAACGAATCAGTAGCCTACAGGGTCCTACAGGGCCTAACATGGCCTAAATGACATAGGCCCTAAACCCTACGAAATTCCCTAACCCTAAATACGAAACGGTCTAGCGCCCAAAAGTACGAGCCTGGCAACAAATGCCAAAAGTAGGAACTTGGCGAAAAGTTGCCAAAACGAATCAGTAGTCTACAGGGTCTTACAGGGTTTAACATGGCCTAAATGACATGGGCCCTAAACACTATGAAACTCCTTAACCCTAAATACCAAACGGTCTAGCGCCCAAAAGCAGGAGCTTGGCAACAAATGCCAAAAGTTGGAACTAGGCGAGAAGTTGCCAAAACGAATGAGTAGCCTACAGGGGCCTACAGGGCCTAACATGGCCTAAATGACATAGGCCCTAAACCGTACAAAATTCCTAACCCTACTATCGGGCCCTACGGGGCCCGTGTGGAACTAAATGGCACACCGCCCCCTCCTTGAAAGACCGAGTCTACCTGTGAGGGCTGAGTTGTCTAAAGGAGGGAGGGACCGAAGTTCGGATGGGAGGGGCAGGTTGTGAAGCCTCCTGGGCTAGCTAAGTGGTGTGGAAGCTCGCAAGTCTACTCGTGAAATCCATCATGTGACGTCGTGGTCAAACTGTTTGAAGGTGACCTTGTACTGCATTGGCTTATTGCCATACTTGCGGTGCGTGACGATGCGATATTTCTCCTGATGACCATCCATGGAAGGAGGGTCTTGCGATCATCAGCCCGAAAAGTCGTCGCTCTTGGCTGGTGTGTGCATAGCTAGCTTGGAGGTGTGGAAGACCGAGTGGACCATTAAATGCGGTGGGATCTCAATCACAAACGATGGGCCATTAGGCTCCTTGCCGGCGGCTGATGTGACTGTCCATGGTCCAAACCACTTCGGAAGAAGCTTGTTGGCTCAGAGTGCGAACTCCTCGGAGGAAACCCATACAAGGTCGCCGACTCAGATATGATATGGCAGGCAACGCCGATTTGCTTGTTGTTGCATGCGAACTTGAGGCTTTTGCATGTGTTGCGTGGGCTTTTGCCAACAAATCCCGACCCTTCCAAACGAAGGTGAGAGAGCAAGGGGCGCCGATGTTGGCTACACGAGGGAATAGAAGATCTGCAAAGATACGACCTTTTCGGCCACCGTGGTGCAACTCAAAAGGAGTCACTCCAATCGCTAGGTGCAACGAAGTGTTGTAGGCGAATTCGATGTCGGGGAGGCGGTCAACCCAATCTTTCTGGTCCGGACGGATGAGTGTACGAAGCATCATTTGAGCGGTTTGATGTGCCGGCTCCGTTCGCCTGTCAGTTTGTGGGAGCCGAGCCGAACTCGGTTTCATTTCGGTGCCAAGTTCCTTCATGAGGGATGTCCAAAATGCCAACATGAATTGATTGTCGCGGTTGCTAACGATGTCTTCCAGAACGTTGTGGCCGCAAATCCAACCGGTGTGCAAGAATCTCGCTAGCTCATGAGCCGTCTCATGATACTTGCAAAAGAAACCACCACGCGTACTTACTTAGTCGGTCAACGACTGTGAGGATACCATCGTGCGCGAGGGGATCTTGGGGAATGGTGCGGTGACGTCCATGGCAATAGACAGTCTGGGTTCACGCTGAATCGACAACAGGCGCAACTCGTTGTAGGGGTTGTGGTTGAAGGGCTTGTTGCGTCGACAAACCTCGTCGGATTCGCAATACCGTGTGACATCTTTGATAACGTCGAACAATTGGAATCGTTGGCGAAGTCAAGCAATCGTGTGGTTGACTCTGAAGTGTCCGGCAAGCTGCAAATCGTGGTACTCACCAAGGAGGCGAGCTCGTAATCGACGGACTTGTGGGACAACGAATGAAGAAGCAAGTACCCATTGACGATGCGGCGGCCAGGCGACTGGTGGTCTGAAGAAAGCTGCCGTAGAGAGTGGCATAGTCCGGATCTGTCTTGTATGCGCATTCAAAATGCTGATGTAGGTCTTCATCAAAGTCAAAGGCGTGGTGTATCAATGCGCAATGATTGGCTCTTCGCGAGAGAGTATCTGGCGCTCGATTGGAGAGACATGAAATGTGCTTCGGCGTGAAGTCGAACTGGTTGATGAAGTACATCAGTCTTCCCATCGAGCTACTCACCATGTCTTGCGTCGTGTAATAGGTCAATGGGTTGTTTTTTGTTACCCAAGTGAACCCCAGATGCATGAGGAGGAAGTGTTGCCAACGTTTGACAATGGCCAGCAATTCCTTCCTTGCATCATCAAGCGAGTTGATGGCGGGCATCTTTTGGCTGAAGTATTCAACTGGTTACCTGTCTACGTTGTTCTGTTGTTTGAAGATTGCGCCAATGTCGTAGCCAAAGGCGTCCGTAGTCACTCTCGTAGACAAAGTTGAGTCGTAGATGCTCGAAACGAGAGCCATGAGCGCCGCCGTCTTAAGCTTGTGGAACGAACTTCAGACTCGTCAGTGAAATGGAAGGGCACCTTCGAAGTCTGAAGTTTGGACAAGGGTGCAACTATCCTTGTGTATCCACCGATGAAGCGGTTATAACACCCAGCCAATCCTAGGAAAGAGCAAACCTCAGTGGTGTTGGTGGGTTCCAACCAATCTTGGGTGGCCTGAATCTTGTCCGGAAGCGGACAGATGCCTTGTGGTGTTACAAAGTGACCCAAGTATTCGAGCTCCTGTTGAGCAAACTCGCACTTGACTCGGTTGGCCTCGTACGTGGCCTTACGTAGCCTCTCCAAAACGGTGCACAGGTGCGCGAGGTGCTCGTCCAAGGTCCGACTATAAACCAAGGTTGTCGAGCCAGATGAGCACAAACCGGTCCAACATGTGGAGCTCCATCGTCATTGCTGCTTGGAAAGTAGTTGGGGCATTCGTGAGGCCGAATGGCATTACGACCCACTCAAAGTGCCCATACCGTGTTGTGAACAAGGTCTTGTACCGATCTCGCGGATGGATCTCAATTTGGTGATAACCGGATTTGAAGTCAACTTTGAGAAGTACGTGGTGCCGCCCAAACATTCGAGAAGGTCGTCGATGCTCGGGAGCGGGCATGCATTTTTAATGGTTTGTCTTAAGCTTGCGGTAATCGATGCATAGCCCCAATTCTTTGTTCTTCTTTCGGACGAAGAAAACGGTTGCAACATGGGGCGAGCAGCTAGGGCGAATCCAACCCTTGGCAATGAGGTCATCGAGTTCCTCCACGCTCATGCGGTAGACACAAGCGCGCGGAAGTATGGCTCCACGAGGATGATCTCGTTGCGAATAGGACGATCCGCTACAATTCTGGCGGGGGCTTCGAAGACGTCGCCGAAGGAGTCAAGAAGCTCTACAGTTCGAGGGTCTGGTGGCACTTTCGATGCTGGCTCGTTCGATGGAGGGATGACATGCAAGAAGCAAAGGCCCATTTCTTCAATTTTGTGTCGTGCGATGGAGTTGTCAATGCTCGCCGCGGAAAGCACGTGACGACCAACTGAAGGGTGAGGTGGAGGAATCGTACATAGCAAGACTGAATGTTGACCTCCTGGAATCCAAGCCTTATGTAGTGTTTGACGCGGCAGTCTGGCCTCAGGTCTCACACCCACGGTTGTACAGATTGACTCACATCCGAGGGCCTGGATTGTGTACAGTTGCAGACTTCCACTTGGTCCTGATGTTGTTTTGGTACCTGCATACAAACAAGTGTGTGCGTCTAATCGGCGGCCTGGGCTGGGTCCATTTTGACTTTGACTGTTGGGCATCAGGCAGTTGACTTTGGTGAACTGTCATTCGCTCAGGCCTTGAATCTACGTAGGGGTCTTTTTTCCCCTTCGGCTTGGGTTTGAGTGTGGCCTGGCGAGGCCCTTAGACATCCCATGAGACATATGGCATGGGTTATTGCATTCTCGCCGATCCAGTTTTCGAGTTCCATCGTAGAAACACTTCAATTTTGCTTTAACCCACGTTCATATCCAGCAACGATGTCAGGAGCAGTAGGTAAGAGTTCCTTTTTGCTAAACCATTTATTTTTAGTAGAGGGTTGAGATCTGAACTTTTACCTTATATTGCTATTGCGGTTGTCCTCTGCCGCTTGTAGAGAAATAACCATGTTCCAAGATTTTCTCAACTTCGTAGCCTCCATTTATGGAGGGGGGGGAGCATAGATGGTCTATTAGGAAACTCAGTTCCCTCTACTTAGGGCAAAAGTTTAGACGCGTGAAAGACATGATAAGTTTTGAGGTGAGGGGGTACATCAATTCTGTAAGGAGGTCCATCTGCATCCCCAATCACCTTGAGAACTTCCCAGGGCCCATAATAGACAGGTAGCAGTTTTTGAGATACGTTTTCTTCCAAGGAAAATTCTTTAGATTTTACCCATACCAGATCACTTTCCTGAAACTGCGACAGCCGACGATGTTTGTTGGCCTGCTCAATCATTTGCAATTGGGCTTTCGATATATTTTCCTTTACCTTTTTAGTATCTTTTTCATATAAAATTTGCAAATTCATCAGTGTCTGGGGGTAACCTCTGAATCTGGTCCCGGGTTAGAGCATCAATGGGACGTCGAGGTTTCCAACCTTTATGCAGTGCATTGGGTGTTCTTCCTGTAACAGTCTGTATGCTATTAGTATATGCAGGATCTTAGGTAAGTTCCCATCCCAATCTATATGATTGGGTCGTACGTACATACGTAGGAGTTGTTGGCATAGATGATTAATTTGTTCAGAGTGGCCGTTCGTTTCAGGGTGTCTGCCTGACGACGTGGTCAACCTGGTACCATAGACTTCCATCAACTTTTGCCATTGTATACTAGTGAACCGAACATCCCTGTCAGAAATAATGGATTTTGGGAATCCATACTCGGAAACCCATCGCATCTGAAACGTATGGATGACCAGCTCAGTTATAGCTTCGGCGGGTAAAGGAATGAACATAGCATATTTTGAGAATCTATCTACAATAACCATTACCTGACTGTTGTCGTTTCGACTCTTAGTGAGGCTCATAAAGTCTATGGAAATAGAATCACCTGGCGCACTTGGAATAGGCAGTGGTCTCTACAGTCCCAACGGATTGTCATGAGAGGGCTTGTTTCTCTAACAGACAAGACAAGTTTGCACATAGGTTAGTACATCCTCTTTCATTCCTTTCCATTCAAAGCGTACTCTGGCATCAACATACGTCTTTTTAAAACCGAAGTCTCCCTTAACATCATGACATTCCCCAGTTATTAGACTCTTGATCTGTTTTAATACATGATCTTTCTTCGGTTTGATCTAGGTAGAAGAGTAAGCCATCCGACATTCGATATTTGAGGAATAATTCAAGGTTCTTTCGTAGGGTCCCAATGATAGGACTCCAAATAGGATCACTCGCATATCCCTTTCAGATTTGTTCCTTTAGTTCATTCCCGATATCTGAGGTAGGAGACTATAGTTCCATAGAAATCTGCACGCCTGGACAAAGCATCGCAACCACATTGGACTTCCCTTTGATTGTTTTCAATTCAAAATCAAAGGTGTTGATGAAAGCGGACCATCGTACGAACTTATAAGAGAGTTTAGGTTGTCTTTATCCACTTCAGAGTAGAGTGATACGAGTAGACAGTGAAGTGTCTCCAAGTGTTCAGTGCAACAACTAACATGTAGTGCTTCCAAGTGTCCAGTGCAACAACTAAGGCATACAATTCCCTCTCGTAGGTGGAGTTGGCCACTTTCTCTGACCGAAGTCTCCTGCACATAAACTCAATAGTTCTATATCCCTTACCGTCATCCTGCTGTAGCACAACCCCAATCCCATACTGATTTGCTTCAGTTGTTACAATGAAAGAGAGAGAAGGATCAACAATTTTTAAGACAGGGTAGTGAGTCAGTAGATGTTTCAACTCTCCGAATGATGACTTACAATCTTTGTTCCACAAGCAAGGTTTTTCCTTCTTTAGAAGTCTTCTCATAGGAGCAGCTATCAAAGAGAAGTTTTTGACGAACTTCCTATACTAACTAGCAAATCCTAGAAAATATCTCAACTTAGTTATGGTCTTTAGGTTGGGGCCAGTCTCTACTTGTTGTTATCTTTTTTTCTTCGGGCCTTGGTCCTTCTTCATTCACTATATGCCCTAAGTACAAGACTCAGTCTTAGCAAACTGATTTTTTTGGGTCCGGTTTGAAATTGCACTCACGCAATTTTTGTAGAACTATTCGTAGATGTTTTTCGTGGTTTTCTAGTGTTTTATAATACACTAGAATTTCATCAAGATAGACTATTACGAATTGATCCAACCATTGACGAAACAATTCATTCATTGACCTTTGGAACGTCGCAGGTGCATTTGTCAAACTGAAAGGCATAACCACAAACTCGTAGTGACCTTACCTAGTTCGGAAAGTTGTCGTGTGTTGATCTTCAGGAGCCACCTCGATCTGGTGGTACCCTTGCTTGAGATCAATTTTACTGAAGTGCCTGTATCCTTGCAATTGGTCCAACAGGTCGTCAATGCACGAAAGTGGTTCCGCGTTCTTTACAGAGACGAAATTAAGCCCACGATAATCAATGCATAATCCAAGTTCACCTTCCTTTTTGGGCACGAATAAAACTGGGGCACCATAAGGAGATGAGCTAGGGCGAATCCATCCTATACCTGTAAGTTCTTGTAGTTGTTTGCAAAGTCCTCAAGTTCCTTAGGAGACATACGGTAGATGGGACCCTTGGGAATCTTGCTTCCGGGAATAATCTCGATCGTGTGCTTAGTAGCACGCTCAATGATTCCCGTCGACTTAGTCTGCAAGTCCTTATATTCATTGAGAAGTTTCTCAATAGGAGAAGGGTAGGATGAGGGTAGGATAAGGGTAGGATGAGGAACATTCTCCTACTCGTTTAACGAGTACCATCATTACATCCTAATCTAGCTTCTTTGAGACCATTGATCTGAAGGCTGGGTAACTCGTACAACAGAAAGATAAGGTCGAGTTAGAGCCAGACCTATGGTACAACTTGATTGCTCGCATTTTAGACTTTTCGTTCTTTAGCTTCACAATTTTTTCTTTGAACTCGACTTCTGGGTCGGCTTCCTCGTGCCAATCCATTCCCAGAATTATGTAGAAAGGCAGTTTTTTTTCAATGAGGAAGGATATCTCATGCAAAATCTTATTTCTTGTCTTAAAGTAACACTTGACACGATCGACGTATTGAGAGATAGTGATTGTGCTCTTGTCAGCCAGCATAGACGTGATAGGTCTAGGTAAGTCTCTTACCTTCATTCCCAGATGCAATTACAAATTGCCTTCTTTGAGATATAAGACCGCGTCGATCCTGGTCTAACAGCACACCTACTCGCGTATGCGCAATCTCAATATCCGCGATCATGAGTTCACCCTTAGACTTAGCTTTCTTAGCCCACGAACTCCGAAGTCCTACGAGTTCATTGCCGAGTTCGTCAAGGGAATCGTCTTGTGAGACAAAACAAAGAACAGGGTCAGGGTGCTCTGGACGACGGGCTGAAGAAGAGTCATCCTCTGCCTCATCCTCTGCCTTAAGAGTCGAGGGGCTAGAAAGGATTGTCGGCGTCTTACCTTTGTCTAAACCCTTCGATTCAGTAGGAGTAGATGCTAATCCTACTGGCTGCTCGCTTTTGGGTTTCGAATCAAGGGACAAAAGGTTATCACGTGCACCCACAGTTCCGCATGTGAGGCATTGGCGATTGTCCATCTTGGACTGCCACTCCTCACGTGTGATCCCCATCTTCTCCCAGGGCTTCCTGTACGTGATGCCAGGATGCGCGGGGAACGAGCGTGGCCTCCTCGTCTTCTTCCACTGACCTATGCCACCCTTGTTGGCCACTACGGCAGTGTCGTCACCCCTCCCAGACTCCCTGCCGCCATTACGTCCTCCTCCCTCAGATTCATCGAGAGGTATTTTCTCTATGGTATCATCGTCGAAAACGACAAGCATGTGATCCTGGCGCTTTTGCCGCCAAAGAACACGCTTGCCGTACCCACCTACTGGACCATTCTTCACCACGAAAGCACAAGTGCGATTTATCTGCACGGTCATTTGCTCTCATTGAAGAGAGATCGCGAAATTGCCTGTAATTATAATTTCCAGACTTTGCCTCAGCCACAAGCTATCCGCGAATGGGCTCGGGCAAGGCACGTGAGTAAATGTGCAGGTCCTGGTTGCCTTGCAGAATAAGACCAGGTACATGCAGAAGACGGTCCACCTCACGCTACAAAGCATCAACGAAAGTCCAACGTTTTTTTTCTATTGCAGTGAGCTCGTCGAAAGCCTTGTCGGTTGTGGTCTCGTTAAGAAATCTCTCCTTGATTTTTTGGAGAAATTGCAAGAGTGTTAGGTTCTCGGCCCACTCACCAATGTCCTCATAGCCAGCAGCGTTGGCTTCGGACAGGACAGGGAGAAGGCCACCCGACTCTCAGGTTCAACCGGAGCGGTCCCGCAATACATGTGGATTTCTGCAATCCACAACAACAAGTTTTCTCCCTTCTTATTGTTGTACGTGAATGGCAACTTCATCTTTACCTTTTCCTTTCTTTTGGGTTTCTCTGTATCCTTGGCTGGTTCTTCCTTTTTGGCGGGTTCCCCTTTCTTCTCTGTCGGCCCCTCAGAGGTTTCGGGGTTTTCTGGAGTCACTTTCCGCATGGCATCCTTCATGAGTTTTTCTTGGGGTTCTTTCTTTACTTCCTCCCCCCTGGTCTTCTCCTCGATCCTTACCTTATCCTTCCCTTTCAGAAGTCTGGTCATTGATTCCAGTGAGGGAGTGTTGTTATCTATCTTTTTTTCCAGGTGGACAAGATAAACCATTATAGACTGCAGAATGGATGCAAGTTCCGTGCCTGCTTTTTCATAGTGGAATCTCTGCCTTAATTCATCCATCATTTTGTCTTTCTGTTCTTGTTCCTCTTTCTTTATCCAGAATTCTTCTATCTTCCTTCTTTCTTCCTTCAACGTGTTTTCTAATTGCCTGACATTTTCCTCCATGATCTCTACAGACAGTTCTGTTCACTTTCTTTCTTTCCTTCTTCTTCCTTATCTTTCTTCTTTGGTCCATCTTTTCCAGGTTCTCGGCTACAAAACAGTCAAGGGCCATTCACCCTTGCTTGATGAGTTCCTTGGCTCTCTTTCTGGTTTCCAACATCTGAACGACTGTCTTCGCATTTCCATTTCACCTTCTGCAGCGCGCAATTTGAATTATCCGTGCACCAGCCGTTCAACTTCTGGTCCGACATTTTTCGCCAAGCAACTGGCGAAGCAGGCCTATCAAAGCCTGCCTTCTTGTGTCTATCTGATCACGAGTCTTAAGTTCCCCCCCTTTTCATCGGCATAGACGGTGAGAGGGATAGGAAAGAAGAAAAGAGGTATCTACCGCATAAGAATGGAGGCACGTAGACATTTCCAAAGATAAGTCATATTTCCCAGTGTGTGAAGGCTGCACAATAAATAATTTTAAATAGGAAAGAAGAAAAGAGGTATCTACCGCGTNTTAAATAGGAAAGAAGAAAAGAGGTATCTACCGCGTAAAAATGGAGGCACGCAGACATTTCCAAAGATAAGTCATATTTCCCAGTGTGTGAAGGCCGCACAATAAATAATTTTAAAAGACAAAAATAAATTCCACAGCCACACGCAGATTCTTCTTACAGCAAGAAATAATCAAAGTGTTACGATCCTGGTCATTCCCAAAGTGCAAATTCACAATGAAAGACAATGCCACCCAATTGTGAAAGAAATAAAAGCACTTGCAAAGAGATAGAGACCAGAGGCGAGAGAAAGAAGAAGAAGAAGAAGAACAAGAAGAAGAAGAAGAAGAAGAGGAAGATGTTCACCAGCAAGACTAATGACAATTCCCCCTTCTCTCTCCACCTTCCTCCTCCTCCTCCACTTCGCCAATCTTATTCTTCTCCCAATAATAATAATAACAATGAGTGGATGAACCAGAATCAATATCCGAAGTTCCCTCTTACTGCTAAATCAACAATAACAACAACAACAAGTCCACCAAAGCTATGGATTCCCTCCTCCTTCCTCCTCTCACATGCCTAGGCTATGGCGGACTACTGAGGGCCCTGCCCTCCTGTCCAAAGGACAACCCAAAGCAGCTATGTCGCTGCTGACTGATCCGCCATGCCTGACTCTGCCTCGAGCTTCCTTGGTGCGGCACTACCCCAACTGGGGCCTTCCAGATGCAGCGCCCAACAAGGTGATGAAGATGGTGTCCACCATAGTCAGGTAGGTGCCTCGCCACTCTCCTCCTTCGCCCCCTTCTTCCTCCTCCTCAGGCTGGGCTGCTCGCCATAGCCAAGCTGAGCGCCCAGGCTGCCCTTCACCTCCAGGTAGCGCTGTACAAGCCCAGCGCTCCGCTCAGCAGCATGTCGCCAATCCTTGCGTACCGCAAATAAGGAGGACCTACTTGCTCCTCCGGAAGATATAGCGGCCTACTGGCCTCTTGGGCGGTGACTTCCTAGGCCGAGCGGCCTCCCAGCAACTGGTACCTCCTCTCTTTCGGAGGGAAACATCATTGCAGGCTCTGCTATCGTTCGGACAGGCCCTAGACCCGGGCTACTTGGACTGGTACCGGTCTACCTCTAACCTACAGCTATTGGCCTCTAAAAATGCCAACTTTTTGTCTTCTTCTGCTCGGCCTCCAGTACCCGACACTTCTACCACTACTTAGTGGTATCGGCCTACCTGCTACTTGAGTGTTTTTCCCCTCTGCTCTAAGTGTCGTGGGCCTACCCCCGCTACTCGTGTGTTTTCCCCGCTGCAACCCTCAAAGTCACGGCCACAAGTAAGTACCGGCCCTGCGGGGCCTTTCAACCAACAAGTACCCTTGTGGGTCACACACACACTCAACCAACAAGCACTCAGACAGGCACGCAAACCAGCAGGCACGCGCACGCACACAGACATGGAAATCACAATAGAACGCGGGAATCTCAGCAAGGCATTCATTCCAGCGGCAAATCCCAGAAATCAGCAGTGTTCTCAGTCTGCGTTTTTGGCGGGTCATTACACTACCCCCCTCTCAAGAGCGAGGTCCCGTCGAGCGAGTAACTCATTTAGAGTCGACACAAAATGCATCGTAGGCGTAGATCAGAAAGAGCGATTTAGTAAGACCGTGAGGAGTGAGTTTTGCAGAAAACTTAGCAGCCTGTCCATCAGCGATATGTCGTTCATAGGCGTTAACCACTCGTGGAGCGTTCTTTAGCAGCTCTTTCCGGTTGATCCAGAAAAAACTCGTTTAACGGGTGATAGAGGAAGTGAACCTTATGCTCTCTGTTCCTCCCTCTTCCTTCATGGGAAACGATTCTTTCTATCTCATGGCCGCCGTCGATAGGACGAGGTATCATACGATCTCGGAAGGGAAAAGTCTCATCATCGATGTGTGGAAACAGTTTGTACGCGTGAACGACCGGATATGTGCGCAGATGAGGAGGCACGTCAATCACATACGAAGGACCAAATTCATCCCCAATCACCTTAAGAACCTGCCAAGGGCGATAGTACAACGGAAGAAGCTTTTGTTATACGCCCTCTTCGTCAGAAAACTCGAACATTTTGACCCAGACATAACTCCCTACTTTGAAGTTCGCTTCTTTGTGAGACTTGTTAGCATGTTTGATCATGGTATGCTGACGCTTGTTCATTGCTGCGATAGCAACTTTGAGCAGGCGTGCGTACTTGGCATTGTAGCCAGCCATGTCGGGCGTCAGACAGGGGACCGTTCGGGGAACAAATAGGAGAGAGGATTGCGCAACTGCCAACCATATTGAAGTTGATTCGGTGTCACGCCAGTTGCAGAGTGAATGGAGTTGTTGTACAACCCTTTCACTTTGTGTACTCCTTGTCCCACGTGTTCTGATCTGGAACAATTAATGCGTGAAGTAGTTGAATGACAGTCTGGTTGATTTCCTCGGCCAGTCCATTGGCTTCAGGGTGTCGACCAGAAGGCTTGTTGAGTTTAATGTCATAGATCTGTGAAGTGAAGTCCTTCCAATCTGCACTAATGAACCTTGCGTCCCGATCACTCCATTCTGCAGAATGTACTGCTGGTGAAATTCTTCAATCATTAGCTCGGTTGGTGCATGAGAAGGTAGAGGAATCAAATTCAGAAGTTTGGAAAAACGATCCACAACGACCATGACTTGTGAATGTCCTCCCTCGCTCACCTTCCCCATGTCCTTGAAATCGATAGAGACCGACTCACCGGGCCCATCAGGGATTGGGGAGGGGTCTCAGCAGGCCATACGGCTTATGCCTATGGACCTTGGTATTTTAACAGACTTGACATTCAACAATAAATTTCTGAGCAGATCCCTTCATTCCCGGCCAATCAAACTGCTGCAAAAGACTTCCATAAGTCTTCTCAAAGCCGAAGTGTCCACTTCGACCATGTGCCAAATCCAAGAAATGAGTCCAGAGAGGCGCATGGTTGGGTACACCCAAACGATCAAACTTCCCATACCGGCGGAATACAAGACCCTCACACTCGTGAACATCAGGTTGGCTACTAGGGTCAGCCTTGAGCTGCTAAAGGATGGGACTATGGTCCGGATTCTTGGCAGTGTGTGCGACCAGATCCTCCTTCAGTTTCCTTCGGAGGTCATATGAGTCCACAAGGCAAGTCAAAAACTCAGCATGGCGCGACAAAGCATCAACAACACGGTTATAACAGCCTTTCATGTGTTTCAGTTCAAAGTTGTAAACATCAATGTCATGCAGCCAGCGGGTCAGCGTCGGAGAGAGATCAATTTGTGTTTTAATCCACTGCAAGGTTTGATGATCTGAGTAGACTTTGAAGTGACGACCCAAGAGGTCGTGCTTCCAATGTGTGAGCGCCTCGCGCAAGGCATAGAGCTCACGCATATACGTGGAGGTAGCTACCTTGTGGTTGGGCATGCGTTTGCTGTAATATTCGAGCGGACGCAGACCATCGCCATCATCTTGTTGCAACACTACACCAATCCCATACTGGCTCACGTCCGTAGTGACCACGGACGTGAGGTTGGGATCCGCAATGCGGAGCACAGGATGACTTACCAAAGCCTCTTTCAAGGCTTGGAACACAGTCTCACATTTCTCACCCCACGCATAGGCAACATTCTCACTTGTTGGTCTCGAGAGTGGGTGAGCAATGACAGAAAATTTGGGTACAAACTTCGGGTAATACGAGGCCAAACCAAGAAAAGAACGCAATTCGCGTACGTTTGCTGGTTGAGCCCACTTTCGTATGACCGCAACCTTGGTTGCCTCCGGCTCAAGGCCGTTTGCAGACAACCCGTGCCCAAGATAGATGACGTTGTCCCTTCCAAACTCAGATTTCTCTAAGTTGAGGTGCAGTTGTGCCTCCTTGAGGACCTGCAAAACCTCCTCAAGGTGCCTGACGTGCTCTTCCATGGACTTGCTGAAAATCAGGATGTCGTCGAGGTAAACAACAACAAACTTGTTGAGCGGATGGCGGAGAACCTTGCCCATGAGGCACTGAAATGTGGCTGGTGCATTCGTAAGACCGAAGGGCATAACGACGAATTCGTACAGCCCATCGCATGTCTTGAATGCAGTTTTGTGCTGGTCGCTCGGATCAACTTCAATCTGGTGGTAGCCAGATGTGAGGTCGATCTTGGAAAAGACTTTGCATCCACTTGCCGCATCTAGTAGATCATCTATGCGAGGCAAAGGATAAACATTCTTTTTGGTGATCCGATTTAGGCCACGATAGTTAATACACATCCGGAGTTTGCCTCCTTTCTTCAGCACAAACAAGACAGGTGCACCGAACTCACTAGGCCTAATCCATCCACGATCGATCATATCATCAATTTGTCTCCTCAACTCCTCCAACTCGCCTTGTCCCATACGGTAGACGCAACTCTTTGGAGGAACACTCCCTTCTATTATCTCGATTTCATGTTTGATCGGACACTCGGGAACTCCACGAGGTTCAGCCAGAACTTCAGGTAATCGATCTAATAGATGGCTAATGTTTGTTGGGACTTCCGGTGGAGGATCATCCTCATCAGGAGAGAGAAAATCAGATTGAGAATTTACAGCAATTACAACTGAACTCGAAGTACTTGGATCAAGAGTAGACTGATTTTTTACAGTAGAAGTAAATGGAATAGAAGTAGAGGTAGTAGATGTAGAATTAATTTCCGAGGTAGAAAATGCAGCAAAAGTAGAAGGCACATGGAGAGGCTTTACAAAAGCTACATGCACATGCTGAGCTTCCTTGCGCATGCGCACTGATTTGCAGAATTTGTTTGCACTCAAAAGAGTCATAGGGGACTCGCGCGTCTCGTCCAATAGAACGGTACGCTCGTTCCCCTTGGCATCACGCACCACGAACTGATTATCCGCCCACGTGGTCCTTAGGCAATGAGCCTTTAACCAGCCCAAGCCAATGACCGCGTCGAAAGGACACTTGTCCATGACATAAAAGTTCAGCTCATGTGTGACAGTGTGATCCTTGTCAAAAGTGGCGTGCATACTTTTGACAACATGTGTTAAGGTGACAACCTCTTGGTTGCCTACCTGGGTCTGACAAGGGTTCTGCAATTCCACTTGCTTCATTCCCAGGCCCGCCGGACAAATCCCGTTAGGAGAAAAGAAGTTAGTCGTTGAGCCACTATCAATCAGCACACAGATGTATCGGCGGTTAATGAGTAACAAAAAGAAGGTCAGCTCCACACTCCCTTGAACACAGCGTTGCTGCTCGAGCTGCAACCAATATTCCAGGTGAGAGTGGAAGTCAACTTCCGTAGTCTCTTCCCAAGGCTCAGTGTAAAGTACTTGGACTGCACCAGCCTTGGATTTAGCATCAGTTTGGGCTTTAAGAGAAAGTTGTTGATCAGATTCAGGCTCCTTGGAGGGGCATGCAATTGGTTGTTCAGCTTCCCTTGTTGTAGAGAGTGTTGACGACTCTTCTACGCCCTTTGTCTGTTTCCCTGGAGACGATAACAGTCCTGCACAGCATGCCCAGGCTTTTGACAATGCAAGCACACGTGCAGTTTGGATCTTCTTTCCCATTCCTTTTGAGTGATGGGGAGGGCTTCCCAAGGCTTGGTAGAAGGGTCCTCCGGTTTCTCAGGGATCTTTGCATTCTTGGGGAGGTGTGCTATAGTTCCCTTACCCGAATTACGGTTAGGCCCCTTGCTTGAAGCAGTCTAAAGGCATTACATTTCTCTTCAGTATTCATGTCAGACTCAAGGGCTGATGTAGAACAGCCCACGTCGGAGTCCGGCTCTAGATCGTCATCCAGAGATAGATCATCCGCATAGGACTAATCCTCAGCCTCCCAATGTTCATGCAGGGCAAGCTGGTTGCTGCTTCCATACCGCTTGCGTTGCGAGGTTCTACCTGCAGCGGGTGCCTTTACACGCCTGGCGAGGTCCTTGGCTTCTAGATTGACTAGATCCGTCAGTAGCTCTCGCCAAGTCGTATGGTCTTTGAGTCCTCGCCGGGAGACATTCTTTAGGGGTCACTCCCATGACTACATCCATGCAAGACACGTCGGTCCATCCCAGGTTTGGAGTGGTGAACAGACCAGTCAAGTGCTGCTCCAAGGCCTGCATGGAAGTCCTCCTCGTTTGGCCCTTGAGGGCCTCCAGCTTTAGCCTTGCCATGAGCGCAGCGTGCTAGCCTTGCCTTGAGCGCAGCGTGCTCATCTTGGTGCTGCACGATGAGGAGGTCCTCAAGAGTACGTACAGGAGCCACTTTCAGCCACTCGGTCAGGTTCAATCCTCTCATAACCTGCAATAACAGCTTCGAGTTCTATGAAACTCCGTACGACGGGCTCAGTATTTGTGCCCATGATCATGCTTCGGTCTTCCTGCGGTGTTCGCAATACCTTGAAGTACGAGCGCATGGAGCTAATCCAAGAGGTGATATCCCCTTTCCCGTTGTACTTGGACTTCAGCGTGGCCGCCCTCTTGTCCACTACGGGACCGTTGTATTGAACACCGGTAAGGACTGCGGCGTTTTGGGCTGATGTTCCTGCATTTGGGACTATGACCAGTGCAGATCTGCCGGCACCGCCGCTTGAGGAGCTGGCACCGGTTCCTGGGCTCGTCACAGTTCCACTTGCTCTCGTCATGAGGACTGTGTTAGGGTGAGAGACTGGGACTGCAACAGTTCGAGGGTTAGGAGGACGGGGGGCAGACAGTTGGGACTGTTTGAGGCTGACTATCTCAGCCTGCAGCTCTTGGTTCCACTGCTCGAGAGCTGTCGCACGGGACTCAAGGTCTTCCAAGGTCCGCAGTTGAACCAAGGCTGCTACGGCAACAGCTAGCTTTTCTTGGAACCGGTCATCATTCGATTCCGGAACCGCAAGGAGGGCCACCTGTTCAGCAAATACTTGTGCCTCTGACTGCTGCCTCTGCCTCCTTCTCTTTGTGTAATGCGTCCTCATACAGTTTCTGGAAGAAAAGTTTCTCGTTCTCGGCCGCTGCGTCCCGGATGGCCTTCCATTTCTCGGACGTGATGTCTGCCATGCCGGAGGATAGGGTCTAAGTATATCTCTCAAGAGGGGTCTGCGCTTTGCTCACTTTTGGACGAACACTCCTCTTACCCTTCCTCACACTCTCAAAAAGAACACCTTCTCTCTCCCTTCTCTCTCTTTCCGCTTTCTGCGCACGCGTCTCAATACCGGACATAGATAGTTCAAATAAAAGAAACAAAACAGTATATCACAAAGAGTAGAAGGTAGAACTCCTAGCTGGAGCGGCAATTCATTTGGACTTCGAGAATGGCATTCACGCAGCAGAATAAAGATAAATAATTAAGTAAAAAAAAAAAAAAAAAAAACGAAAGAGAGGTTTGACTTATCGAACAAGCCCGATCAGATTAGCTGGAGATCCCCTCTTGTCTAACCTCACAAGGTACATGTACCACAATGAATCAGCCGAAGAAAACTAACTGCAGCAATGGAGATTTTGAGGGGTGCAAACGGTCGTCGAGTCAGACGCGGGGCAGTATGTGAGAACATGCAGTAAGACGTCAAGATCCCCTTGAAAGGAATGTCCTTGCTAGCCGTATGTCCCCCAAGTTCAGCACAACAAAGAGATGCATTGGCGGCAACAGATTTGGGACCCTAAAGGTCCTGTCCCGTTGGGCCTGGTCCCACTAAGTCCCGAAGGTCCCAAGTAGGTCGTGGACCAGGGGACCAACGAGGTAGGCGTACCAAGTCCCAAACTGCCTCTACCGTACTGAAAAGGAAAAGACAACTTTCAGCAAAAACTCACCCCTACAACCGTTCAGAAAGGAAAAGACATTGCACCGTAGAAAGATATGTCATTTGGAACAGATACATCATCCATCCATCCATCAGGAGAGAAAGTAGTCCACATGCTCATACACACAACCAAGACCGCAGAGAAGAGGAAGAGAGCGCAGCACACCCAAACAGGCCATGAAGCACCAAGCAACCTTCCACGGGCATAACTAGGTCACACGACACTTACCTGTGAGGCCCGACCTCCAAAGATSGATAACGACTCCCCCCCCTCTCTCATAGGTCCTCCTGACCCCTAGCTACCACTACACGAAGTGTCCTAGCATGACTAAGAGGGCCTCACTACACCCCTGTTACAACGCCGGATCCCCCGTCGATGTCTGAAGACCAAAGTAGCAACTTGCAGCTCTTCGATGCAGATACGGCAGCCTCTGATCAAGTCTCCCTCTTGAGGGGAAGCCCAAAAGTCGCTCAATGTCTTCTTAAAGTGCAGATTCCAGGTGCGAGTACCTCTCACTCTCTACTCCCTTTCGCTTACTCCAATCAGCCTCCTTTGTGTCTCGCCACCCCATCCAATCACTCAAGCGACCTGGTCAGGTCTGATGTCGACGCTACATGACCTAACCAGGTGGGGGCAGTATCCACATACCTCACTGCCCCTCTTAACCCAAACTTCTCAACCCTAATCCGAGATTAGGTTAGCCCTAACCTAATTCAGAATTAGGTTTAGGGTAACTAACACCTCTCGCCAGCAAATAAGCCCGCGCTGATACCAATTGTTACGATCCTGGTCATTCCCAAAGTGCAAATTCACAATGAAAGACAATGCCACCCAATTGCGAAAGAAATGAAAGCGCTTGCAAAGAGATAGAGACCAGAGGGGAGAGAAAGAAGAAGAAAAAGAAGAAGAAGAAGAAGAAGATGTACACCAGCAAGACCAATGACAATTCCCCCTTCTCTCTCCACCTTCCTCCTCCTCCTTCACTTCGCCAATCTTATTCTTCTCCCAATAATAATAATAACAATGAGTGGATGAACCAGAATCAATATCTGAAGTTCCCTCTTACTGCTGACTCAACAACAACAACAACAACAAGTCCACCATAGCTATGGATTCCCTCCTTCTTCCTCCTCTCACATGCCTAGGCTATGGCTTACTACTGAGGGCCCTGCCCTCCTGTCCAAAGGACAACCCAAAGCAGCTATGGCGCTGCACCCCTGTCCAAAGGACAACCCAAAGCAGCTATGCCGCTGCTGACTGATCCGCCATCCCAAACTCTACCTCGAGCTTCCTTGGTGCGGCACTACCCCAACTGGGGCCTTCCAGATGCAGCGCCCAACAAGGTGATGAAAATGGTGTCCACCATAGCCAGGTAGGTGCCTCGCCACTCTCCTCCTTCGCCCCCTTCTTCCTCCTCCTCAGGCTGGGCTGCTCGCCATAGCCTGGCTGAGTGCCCAGGCTGCACTTCACCTCCAGGTAGCGCCGTACCAGCCCAGCGCTCCGCCCAGCAGCATGTCGCCAATCCTTGCATACCGCAAATGAGGAGGAGCTACTTGCTCCTCCGGAAGATATAGCGGCCTACTGGCCTCTTGGGCGGTGACTTCCTAGGCTGAGCGGCCTCCCAGCAACTGGTACCTCCTCTCTTTCGGAGGGAAACATCATTGCAGGCTCTGCTGTCGTCCGGACAGGCCCTAGACCCGGGCTACTTGGACTGGTACCGGTCTACCTCTAGCCTACAGCTATTGGCCTCTAAAAATGCCAACTTTTTGTCTTCTTCTGCTCGGCCTCCAGTACCCGACACTTCTACCGCTACTTGAGTGGTACCGGCCCACCTGCTACTTGAGTGTTTTTCCCCTCTGCTCTAAGTGTCGTGGGCCTACCCCCGCTACTCGAGTGTTTTCCCCGCTGCAACCCTCAAAGTCACGGCCACAGGTAAGTACCGGCCCTGCGGGGCCTTTCAACCAACAAGTACCCTTGTGGGTCACACACACACTCAGCCGACAAACACTCAGACGGGCACGCAAACCAGCAGGCACGCACACACACACATACATGGAAATCACAGTAGAACGCGGGAACCTTAGCAAGGCATTCATTCCAGCGGCACATCCCAGAAATCAGCAGTGTTCTTAGTCTGTGTTTTTGGCGGGTCATTACAAAAGGCAGATTCGAGGAAACAAATTCTCAATTTATTTCTAATTCTAACTTTGCTCTTTGTTCTATGTGATGAAATCCTACGGGAAGTGTACAGGTAGTCTGGCGGGCAAGGATTCGGGAAACACGTCTTTGAATTCGGATAGGGGGGCGGAGATCTGAGGGTCGGAGGGGGGGGCTTGGTTGGGTTTGTCCGTTGGAAGCAAGTCCTCGGGAAGGTCGCGGTCAATGACAATGCAATAGTAGGCGGAGTCAGGGTGCTCACGGGTCGTGTGAAGAAATTGGTGAGGAGAGACGGGGGAAGGGGTGGAGGGAGGGAGAAGGTAGGGGATGTCAAGGGGTGGATCGGGAGGGGTGGAGAGGCGGACGAAAGAGGGGTGGAAGGTATAGGGCATGTAGCGGTCGAGCCAAGGAGTCCCGAGTACGATGTCGCACATGAGGTGCATGACATCGAAGGAGACCTGACTGCGAAGAGGGCCGACAGTCGTTGTGGTCTCGGGGACTGTGCGGTCGACGACGATGGCCGAGTCCTTATCCCCTAGGCAGATGGTGAGTGGGGAATCATAGCCGGTGGAAGAGAGGCCGACTTTGCAGACACAAGCATCCGTGATGAAGTTGCCGGTGGCACCAATGTCGAGAAGGGACCGGAACTTCACCGTCGATGCTCCAAAGGAGATGGCGACGAACTTGAGCTGGAGTTGGGTGGTCCCGACACAAGCGGAGGAGATTATGGCGTTGAGGCGGCGCTGCTCGAGGCCTAATCTAACAAGCCGAGTGTGTCGGTCTTGTTCCTCAACGAGATCGGAGAAAGTGATGGTGGAGGGGTTTGGCCGTGGGGTGCTCAACCGACGGAATAGAGGACGTCGTCGGGAGGAGGGCAGGCGGAGTAGACTGCGGCACCTGGGGGGTGTCCGGTGTGAGAGTCGTCGCTGGCAGACGAATTGTTGATGCCAGGACATGGCTACAAGGGGCGGGGGGACAGTGTTCAAGTGGAGGAGGGCCCAGAGGCCGCGGTGGAGGAGGAGGAAGTGGATGTGGGAGGGCTGGATCTGGTGGGGCGGGAAGGCTGGTGGGTGGACCGGCCGGCCTTGGGGCAAGTGGTTTGCTGATGCCCCAACTGGCGGCAACGGAAACAACCGTCGTTGGCCTGGAGGAAGGCGCGTTCGGCGGGGGTGAGCTTTTTGAGACGAGGGGGTTGGGGGGAGGAGGAAGGCTGGGAGGCCAGGCGTTGCCGTTCCATCCTCGTGAGATGGACAGCCTGGAAGTCTTCCTCGGTGAATTGGGCTGGGTCAAGGGACTCGGGAGAGGAGTCAAAGCTGTCGTCAGAGGGGAGTGATGAGTCGTCGGAGGCCATGTTGTGGAAAAACCGGGTGCGGTTGGGGGCGGCTGGTCGTTGAGAGCGGAGGTGAGGAAGGCGATCATGGTGGAGAAGGCGGGTAAGGAGATCGGTGAGAGGGAGCTCGGGCTCATGGGCGAGGGCTGCGGCGAGGTGGGGGAAGCATACCCCCTTGATGCGGGAGATGAAGACGTAGTCGGGAATGAGAGTCGACGGGATGTGGAGGCGGAGGGAGCGAACGTAATGGATGAATCGCTCGGTGGCGCCGGTTTGGCGGAGGTTGCAAAATTGATCGATGTAGTCATCGATGGTCTTTTGCGGACGGAAGGTGGCGATGAGAAGGTCGGCCCATTGAAGGAAGGTGATGCGGGGAAGGCCGTTGGCTCGGCGGTTGTTGGCTTTGGTTAACCACCATTGAGCGGCGGCGCCTTGGAGGCGGGAGGTTGTGGTGGGGAGCCAATAAGCGAGGAGCATGTTGTGGAGATCGAAGGCATTTTGAATTTGGAAGAGGAAAAGGAGGACGTCCTCGTGGGGGAGGCCGGAGAACGTCGCGATATCGGTGGCGCGAAAGGAGCGGGGAATGTCCCCGTTGCGGGGGACGATGCAAGCGAGGTTGTTGAAGTTGCGGTCATCGGGAGAGGTGTCGTAGCAGGTGTGATCCTGACTGCGGTCACCGAGGAGGTAGCAAGGAGGAGGTTGGGGTATGGCGGGGTAAACGCCTAAAAGGACTTGGGAGTAAGAGGGGTGGACAGAGGGGATGGTGGAAGTAGTTAGGAGAGGTTGGGTGAGGGGGGAGGAGAGGCGAAGGGGAGTGGTTCGTGTAGTGGTGGAAGCGCTTGTAGTAGGTTGTGAGGAGGGGAGGGAAACGGGAAGGGAAGTGACCGGGGTGGAAGAAGGTGTGGTGGAGGAGGGTTGGGGGGTGGTGTTGGATGATGAGGCCTGGCCGGCTTGGCCGGCAGAGAGGCTTTGGCCAGATTGGCCGGAGGAGGGGGGTTGGCTATTTTGGCCGGAAGAAGATGGTTGGCCGGTTTGGCCGGCGGGGTTGGATTGGATGGATTGGCCGGCGGAGGAGGGGGGTGGTGACGTCGTGACGACGGTGATGGCGGGTGTGTGGTTTTCGAGGGAGGCGACGCGATAGGATATGGAGGTCACGGGGGCCTCGATTCTGCGGAGCGAGGCAGAGAGTGCTTGAAACATGGAGAGGAGAGATGTGTTCTCCCCGGTGCCTGGCTGGTCGACTAGCTCGCGGTGGATATCCTCGACGGAATCCATGTGGAGCGAGCCCATGTTTATGCTTGAGGTGCCTTCGGCCATGGGGAGGGACGAAGGTGGGGCAGAGGGAGAAGATGGAGTGGAGGGGACAACGGAGGTGACAGCAGCGGCGGAGGTGGCAGCAGCGGTGGCAGCGGCGGCGGCAGCGGCGGCGGCAGCGGCGGCGCGTTGGGAGGTCTTGGATTGGCGGGGTGGCATGTGGGAGCGGTTTCTAATCCCGATGACGACGGGGATCTAGACAGCACCTGTCTCTTATACACATCTAGATGTGTATAAGAGACAGCACACACACTCAGCCGACAAACACTCAGACGGGCACGCAAACCAGCAGGCACGCACACACACACATACATGGAAATCACAGTAGAACGCGGGAACNNNNTAATCCCGATTTAGAAAAATTATGGTTGATTTAAATCGGGGTTAGAGGAAGTTGTCATGAGAAAGGGGGGGGGGGGATGAAAATTTGGGGGCAAAGGTTTGGGGAAAAAAATTCAAATCAGAACGTAAATTTCAAATGGAATAAAATTTGGCGAAGAAAAATATCAAAAAATTTGGGGTAAAGGAAAAGAGAAAAATTAAATTTTCAAGATAATGAAATTCGAATTTATTCGATTTAATTTTCAAAAAGGGAAAAACTCTTGGGAAGAAATTCTATATGACAATAAAAAATTTCGGGCTATTTTACATGACAAAATACAAAAAATTTAAAATTGGAATAAGTGGAAAAATTCAAAACAATTTTGCTATATTTTGGGGAATTATTTTGAATTTTTAACGAATTTAAATGATAATTATGAAAATAATTTAAATCAAGATTTCCGAATAACTTGGGAAAAAAAAAAAAAAGAATTGTTGGAAAAGAAAAAGGCTCAATTCGAGAAAAATAAAACGAAATTTTGAAAAGAAATCCGATAATTTTCAAAATGAAAGGAAAGTTGAATTCGGATTTAAAAGTTGATTTGGTTTTTTTTTTCGGAATTTAATTTTTTTGTTTGGAATTTCAAAAACGGAAATGCAATTTTTGGGTGGAATAAATGAAATTTTAGGGTATTTTCGAATAAATTTCGAATTGCAGAATATTTGGAAAGTAAGTATTTCAAAATTTTAGAAAAAAGAAAAAAGGAGCTAAAGTATGACTAAATTGATTAATCAATATTCGGAAGGTAAAATCTACTATGAAAAAGGAGACTGACTGCTAAGGAAAAATTTCGAAAAGAATTAATTTCAAAGACGAACTAAGAAAAAAAAAGAAAAAACAACTGAAATTTTAAGTGCCGAAAGAAAAATTCGAACATTCGTTTCAATTTTATTCTATTATTCGTAAGTGTTAAAGGCAGGAAAGGGGTTTTACGGTTTGTAAATGTGCTTGCTAAGCATTGTTTTGAGATGCCACGTGTCGCGCGGAAGGGTGGATAGGGCAGTGGATAGCGGGCAGGAAGGGGGGTGAAGTGGGGATTAAGGAAAGGAGAGCGTGGGGGGAAAAGTCAGAATTTGGAGTAGGGGGGGAGGAAGATCGAACGCGTGGTGAGGAAGC